TGCTGACAGCATCACCATCCATGGTTGCACACTCCATCTTACGAAGCCAGTCCAGAACCTTGGCGTCTTGTTTGACCTTCAACTATCCTTTCCAACCCATATCCATGCCATGCTGCATTTCCCCACCTCCGCAACATCGCCCGGCTCCGCCACTGCCTCACACCGCAGGCCGCCGAAACCCTCATACACGCTTTCATTACATTGAGGCTTGAGTATGCAAACTGCTTGCTTGTCGGCCTCCCCAACTCCTCCCTCCATAGGCTACAGATCATCGAGAATTCTGCAGCCCGTGTCCTCTCCCGCACCAGGCACTGTGACTCTATCATTCCCATCCTCAGCCGACTCCACTGGCTTCCCATTACTCAGAGGATACAGTTCAAGATCCTGGTCCTCATTCTTAAAATCCTCCACGGCCTCGCTCCCCCCTACCTCTGCGACCTCCTAACTTCCAACCATCCTGCCCACTCCCTACACTCAGTGGGATCCAGCCTGCTTCACATCCCCTGCCTCACCTGCCCCACCATTGGCAGGTGGGCCTTCTGCCACTCTGCCCCCACCCTCTGGAACTCCATCCCACAGTCCCTCTGCCTTGCCCCTTCCCTTGCTTTCTTCAAGACCCATCTCAAGACTCTTCTCTTCGACCGTGCTTTCGATCTCCCTGCTTCCCCCCCCCCCCCACCCTTCCAATCACAATCCCCAGCTCGGGTCTGAAACACTGACTATCCAGCTCCTTGGGACGTCCTCCCGACGTGAAAGGCGCTATGCAAATGTCATTTTGTTGTTTTTGACCACAGATTAAGTATTAAAAATAACATCCAAGCATGAAAACTGAAAAGGGCAACAATGTCCATTGGCACCCAGTGTGGTATAGAATGCCCCTAGACCACACTGACACAGATGGCAATTTGTTAAGGGTAAATAAAGCACTGATAAAACAGGAATTAATTGAACTGGCATTTATTTTTTGAAATAAAAACACAAGAATTTCACGTCAGTCGCACAAATTTCTTAAAACTTCAGTTAGCCTGTACTAACATTTATTTAAATAACATTACTAACAATTATTAGTGTGTTGTTCAGCAGGAATTTGACTCTTGCATTAAACCTTTTGAGATGCATATTCTGGCAACACTGTACATGTGATCAGCAGTGACTGAGTTAACCTTAACCTTGTTGAATGGACTGGAAATAGAGATTATAAAAAATGTATTCTTTCGATCGCTGGTTACCTCACTTGCTTTCCTGTGGGATTGATGGATTACAAGCAAGCTTTACAAAATTTTATCAGAACACATTTTGCACGATGCTGTCATCTCTAATAATACAATGTGTATTTACTCTACTTCTGTCTCACAATAAGCCACACACCAAGTTCTGGTTCAACTCAATTCCAATTAGAAAAGGAATTTAGGGCTTTAAAAGGGATCAAGCCCCACCACTGACGAAATTAAGCCGCAATTCACTCCCCACTCCGTATCCATTCAGTTATCGGGAATGACAGTGGGATTCAGATGGTGGGAAATATCATCACAAGGCTTAAATGTGGAAAGGAGCATTCAACATGCAGTACACCATGAGAGGACAGACTTTGCTCAGTGCACCAGAGTCGTGTTTACACACTCTGGTTAATACAGTCTGAAGCACTTGAGAAGCAAGTACCTTTATAAATAGCCTGGGGTCGGGGGGTGGGGAGGGAGAGAGTATCATCCTCAGAAACCAAGAGGTACAGATCTAGCGACTGCATGACTTATATATATAGGTTGTCTCCAGAACCCAACCTATCCCAGTAGATAAGGTGGGGTTAGTGCTGAGGATGGCCTTAACAAATATTTAAACTCTTTTTTTTTAAAAAAATTTAAAATTTTAAAACAAATAAATTAAGTTACTGAACCAGAATGTTTTGGGCAGGCGGGCGCTGTGTAATTTCCAGCCAACTCCTCTCAAAACAGAAACCTCCCCTCCCAAAAAATAAGGTTGTGGGGTTTGAGGGGAGAGAGGAGGGAATTCTGCCTTCCAGCTCCAGCGTGTGGCGTTGGAAACCAAACAACAAACCAATTTGGTTAATTCCCTGTTATGGTTGGCAACGTTTTGAAACCAATTTGGAACGTAACTCACAAACGGCAAACCATCAACATGAGGGACAATGCCAAGCAATATCAGCAGTAATGGCATCGATCTCACTCACAGATAACCTTCAAGCTGACCGTGGGGGTAGGGGTTTGAGCCAGTTTCCATCCGCCAATTACTTACTTACGGACCATTAAAATTGTTGTCATTTTAAACCAATCAATATATCTCCCCCCCCACCCACCCATCTGCTTAGTGTGAAAGTCAGTCGGGAGAAAAACAATTTTGATTCCGATTTAATTTTTAAAACCTGATTGATGATTTCAACCCCCACCACCCCACCGTTCTCTTTTTGATAAATTGCCCCCTTCCCTCCCTCGATTTTCTCCCTTTTTTGGATAGAAGTTTCTGTTTTATTAATCGACTCTGACTTTAACAGCTCTTGAACCTGCACAGTCCGAGCACACCCTCTGGGAGTTGTCGCTGGGAGCCTACAGTCAGTGAAACACTTCTCAACGTGGTCAGTGAACAGAAGGTTCATCTAGATGTCCAGGACCATCACGTGGCAAAACACCTTCTCCCACCAAGCCTCCAGCCCACAAATACCACAGTAAACCTTAAGCTATCAATTCATTTCCCTCAGTACTCCAGAGGCCCAGACCCTCTCTGAACTAAACCAGCAGAGGACAGGCAGTTAGATCGTGTACCTTTGCACACAAGTGGTTGAGGTTACCTTCACACTTACCCTGAGGTGTATAATTTCAAGCAGTGGACAAAGACTAAGGATGTATCTCTGGATAAACACTGTGCTCACCTCCCCCACCCCGCCTCCCAGGTAAAGTATGGTCAGTGCAAAGCATAGAGCGCTCACTGTTACCATGGCCAAGACCAGCATAATAACATCAAAACCTAGGCCTGAGATCACCCGGCCTTCCACAGGAGAAATATTTATCACAGGCCACACAGAGGCTTCAAAACCAGTGTCCTCAGTTGCCCACCTCAGGACGGGGGCGCACAATTGCCGAGATAGTTATATCCCCTTGTGTCAGCATTAAACAGGGAATGTACAGGCTTCTCTCGCCCACTATGGGCCTTTTCGTCCTGCATTTGAGATTGAAAGTCATCCTGAAAACTACCGTCTGGGGCATAAACCTCAGGGCCTAAGAGAAACCTTGGGGACAGAATAATAATTTGCTTCCTCTAGTTAGCGTTTTGATAAGGAACGTTTAGAAACACGCTGAGGGAAGCCAGCACAGCCCAGTCTTTCTCCCTCACCAGAATTCTCAAAATGTTCCAACAGTTAACTGAAATTAAATAAAATCTTAAAAAGTAACACACAATGACAGTGTATGTTAAAGACAGTGGACTTAAAAGCACATGCGCTCACACGCAGATATACACTTAAGGTTGTTTCAACAGTAGGTATTTGTCAGCAATTGACTCACAATTAAAACCTTGCTGATGTGGCCTGAGAGTTTGTAAGAAAATTGGCCGAGTGGATTTCATTTGTTTAGTTCTTAAATGCGGCCAACAAACAAACAAAAATCCCAAAAAAGTAGTTTTTCTCTTTTTTGAAAAAAAATGTAAAGCTCAACTCTTTGGATGCCTAATGACTTACAAATCCCCGCTCGAAATTCAAAGCGCGATGAACGCAGTGTTCTCATTTACCACGAGATACCTTCAATAATAGTCCTGCAATATTGAGCTTGTGTTCTTTTGACCAGTAGCAAGAGGTATTAAGTTGTTTCCCCTGAAATATCAGAGACATTAGGTCGGTTTTTAATAGCTTGAGTTTGCTTTGCAAGAGGTATTTATTACCCCCCCCATACCCACTCCCTCCCCCCAAAAATTGGGAGGGGTTAGGTGAATGTTCATTAGTTTTTTAGGTTGCCTTTTGTGCCTCTCTCCTGTCTCTCTAAGCGAGTAGATTGTGCCAACTCTTTGGTTGCACGATTGGACACCAAGCAGATTCCTCCCTCTCTTACAAACCACCAGTGTTTAAATACTAAACAGAAATCAAATTTAGGAGGAAGAGAAAAAAAAAGCGTAATGCTACACAACTAAAACTACTCCCAAAATAACTTTTCCGATCACCTCGCCGTGCGTAATGTAGAGCTGGCCAGCGTGTTGGTGGAAGACTTCCCAGACAATAGCTCACAAAACGCAAAGGACAAGTCTTGTTTGGGATGCTCTGAGTTAATACAGACAGAAGCAGCCCAAACGCAATCAGATCTGTTCTCACTCCTCTGTCGGGTCCCTACAATGCTGGGTTGAAATGAAACATAGTGCGGCAAAAAGAATCATAAAGTGAAAGGAAAGCCAGGACACAAACCATATTGCACTTGGAAATGTAACTACAATACACCCTAGAGAGAGAGAGAGAAGCACTGGCTGGCACACACAACACTGCAAGCAGCCAGCGATAAATTAAATGGGGCAGACCAATGGCATTATCTTCAAGTAAAAATGTTTGCCCCCGAACGTTTTTATGTAAACAATATAAAATATCAGTCACAGTAAATAACAGCCCTTTTATGTCACTTAAGGGCAGCAGCGTAAGATTCTCTTAAGAGACGTTTCTTCCCCAAACTATATATGGCTTCCTTTATTAAGACTTAATTTAAAGACTCTTCTTTTTGTCAAAAAATTTTGAAGGCCAACTTCAGGGCATTCCGAGAGTCTGAAAACACGTCTTATTTATATTCCCAATTGCAGGAAATCATAACAAGGAAAAGCTACTTGGTGATCAATCCCTCTCCTCCACAGAGCCTGAGGTCAGTTTTCAGTGCATTGTCAACCAGTCTTGTCATTTCGCCCACACATAACAACCCCCATCTGCCCCCAGCGTGCGTAGCTTCCATTGTCCAGTGTAGGGGTGGGGGGGGGGGGAGGAGAGAGGTTGGATTGAGAAGATCATTGCAGCAAGCTTATCGTCATCTTTCAAAGCAGCCAGCTGTGTAGGTGTGATGTCCGCTCAGGAAGTTACGTCCGTAAGCCACGGTGATGCAGTGTCTAGGCTCGGTCGTTATGGCGACCTGCATGGCGATGGGTCCCTGAACAGGCAAGGCCCTGACTGTGGGCTGGAGGCTGGACTGCAGGCCCGGGCAGGCCTGGATCGTGTAACCGCGACTGGAGCTTCCCGAGAGGATAGTGGGCCGGCGGCCCTGAAGGTGGCTGCGGTAGGCCTGGGTCTGCGTGTGGGCCTGGGTCTGTGTTTGGGCCTGGGGCTGGACTGGAGTCTGGGGCTGGGTGGGTGGGTGGAACTGGACGAGCTGGGAGGTGCTGTGCTGGTACTGGGGCTGGAATAGCAGCTGTGGTGAGGACTGGTGGCCTTTGGTTTTGTTGGCTTCCTTGACGTCGTTGTCGTGGGCACTGGAGAACAAACAACACACAGTCAGTCAGAGGCTTCCCAGCCTCAATAACATAGAGAAAACCCCCACCCACCCGAGACATCGCAACAATGTTCTACGGGGCTATATTACATGCAAGGATTATTATTATTATATCAACCTGTCCGTTCCCTACGCTCCCCAGCCCGCTTCATGTCCCCCGCCCGGCCTGCCCCACCATCGGCAGTCGGGCTTTCAGCCTCTCCGTCCACACCCTTGGAACTCCATCCCACATTCTCTTCGCCTCGCTCCCTCCTTGCCTCCTTCAAGGCATGTCTCAAGACCCTCCTCTTCAAGTACACCTTTGGCCACCCTCCTCCCCTCCCTGAACGCCACCCTCACCCCCCCCAACTCAGATACAAATCCCTGACTGTCCAGGACTCTGGGACGTCTTCCCGATGTGAAAAGCGCTATACAAATGTAATTTTGTACTGTATTATTATTAAATCGATCATTCACTTTATGGCTGCTTGTGGGGCATTGCTGTGCGCAAACTGACTGCTACGTTGGCCCCACAAAAATACACAGTCACTACACTCAGAAAATAATTCCCGCCAAGTGCTTTGTGACTTTGAAATGATACAATGCGAGTGCACGTTTTCATTACAACAGCAAATTACATTTGTAAAGCGCCTTTCACTTCGGGATTTGGACCTGAGCAGGAGAGGCTGAAGATCTGACCGCCAATGATGGGGATGGGGGGTGGTGGGGTGGTTGGAGAAGGCCGGAGCCTGCTGAGCGAAGGCAGTGGACAGGTTGATATAGGGTTAGCAGGTCACAGAGGTAGGAGGGGGCAAGGCCATGGAGAAGCTTGAAGATGAGGACAAGGATTTTGACCTCTATCCTTTGGGGAATGGGGAGCCAGTGGAGCCGGGCGAGGGTGGGGGTGATGGGGTCACAGAGCCTGGTGCGGGAGAGGACATGAGCTGCAGAGTTCTGGACGATCTGTAGTTTGTGGAGGGAAGAGTTAGGAAGGCCGTCAAGCAGGTAGTCAAGCCTAAATGTGATGAACGCGTGAATGAATGTTTCGGAGACCTGAGGGGAGAGGCAGTGGCGAAGCCGGGAGATGTTGATGTTGTGGAGGTGGGGCAAGGCAGAGCGGATCATGGCACAGTTGTGGGATAGAAAAGACAGTCGACGGTCAAACAAGATGCCAGGGTTCTGGACTGGCTCAGTGAGGTGGAGTGTGCATCCATGGACAAGTATGCTGTCAGTGCCTGAGGTGTGGAGGCGCTGAAGGAAGCCAATCGGGAGGGCCTCGGTCTTGTTGCTATTCAATTACAAGAGATAAATTTGTCTTACATCAGCATGAGCTCAATGCAGGGCGTCAGGTGCTCCCAGGTGTATCCTGTCAGCAGATGCAGCTGAGAGGTTAGGGACGGGCTGATGTGTAAACAGATACGAGAGGCTGTGATGCAAGCAGCAGCTACCATCGACGGACGGAAAGTCAGAAAGCTATGATCTACAATGAGAAGAGCAGTGTTATCAATTAGGGCAGAGAAATCCATCGCAATGACTCCACAGACATTGACAAACAAAGAGACATTCAGCACATGGCTCTCCGAACAAGCTCTCCATCTAGCCCTATTCAAATTCAATCCCTTTTGGCTACACACGTAGACACACACCGCACTTCAAAGTAAAATCTTATGAAGAAAAAGAGACGGTAGTTTCTCTGTCCCTGTGTCCTGGCCAACAATTCCCCAGATATAATTGATCACTCACTTCAAGGCCGTTTTGTGGGACATTGGTGTGTGTGTATTGGCTGCCTTATTTGCCAACAAATACAGTCAGAATACTACACAGAAAACCTCCTGTGAAGCACTTTGAGATGTTGCGCTGATATGATAGGACTTTGTTTCGAACTCAAGGAATTATTACCATATTGGGCACTGCTATGGAATTGGGAAGACAAGCACAGATGAGATGACTGAGCACCACATCAAGAGGACCTGGGTTCGATTCCCGGGCAAGGCAAAACCTTACGCAAGTTTCCTTACTCCACATGTTTACCTAGCAATAAGTAGAAACCCAGTTGTTAATTGATTGACGAATTACTTTCCATGGGGTAATAATCCCTCAAAAAAAATTGGTCATTGAATTCACGACAAAATAATTGATCACTCACTCCATGGCTATTTGTAGGACACTGATGGACACAATTGGCTGCCACGTTTTGTCCACTAAATACACAGTAAATCCATTTTACAATATATTCTGTGAAGCACTCTGAGACGCCTTGAAAATGTGATAAAGCACTATATCAAATGCAAGGATTATTATCATCAACAGCAGCAAACTGCCCCCTTACACACAACTGGCCTTCTCCTCCCAAGCCTTACCTTGGAGAGAAACCTCCAGAAAGTAGTGGGTGTATTTTTCCAGGAAGGCTTTGGTTTTGGCGATGGAGGCTAGTGGCCAGCCATTGTGGAGGTCGTTCTCGTGGACAGAGACGGAGAGGTAGTAGTCAATGAAGTGGGCAGCTGTGGGCAGACACAGGTTCCAGCTGAACGTCTCCAGCAGCAGCAGCTCCATCTGCAGCAGGTCCTGTCTGTTCAGCACTAAGTGCAAGCTGCTCATAAAGCCCAGGCTGTTCAGCTGGTCCAGCTTCGGCACACGGTCCTCCTTCTCCTCAAATTTGCCTGGGAAACGAGCGGGGAGCAAAGCAAGGCACACAAGAGTCAGCGCTGCAAATGGAACTGAACATCAGACAACAGCAACTTGCTGAAGACACAACAACAGAACCTGGAATGGACAGCGTAGGGCGGCTCGGGTTAGAGGAGATTTGGTTTTATATTCGCTCCCCAATCCATCTACAATCACCTCTTTAAGGGGAGCTGGGAGGGAAAGCCTGATCCCGAGCTGCAGGGAGGGGGGAAGGTGACCATAGGCCTCCAGTAGGATGGACACACAGCTCAGCTAATTATAACACACATCAAGCATCACCCAGTTTTGCCAGCTGCCTGTTCCTTCCTCCATCCTTGTATTTGATGGGAAAATACTAAACTGTGAATGCCACACATTCCTGGCTCATGGCATTTCGCTGGAATATCACAGAGAATCGCAATTCTTTCTCCCGATCCTCGGTTCAGGACCCGCAGGCAGCACTGTTGTGCCTTTAGTGAAGTGCAATGCTAAAGTGTTCCCAACGCCAACTCATTTCAAACTTTTGCCAAGATTCCTGCATATTCTCCCTCTCCCATGGACATGCTGAGGGCACAGCATTATTCGAATACTAAAAGCACCCAAATTCTTGCTCTCTCACAGTCGACACAAATGAAATCTTATTAATACACAATGGGACTTGCATTTTAAGAGTTTTAAAAAAAAGCTACAGGATGCTTAAAAGAACTTTAGCTAACGTTGCAACCTACTGACTCAGCACATTTACAGGTAATTAGTGTTTTCTGGGTGCTAATGCAACAGCTATTACACACAGAGCAAAGACCCACAAGTAGACGTCCTCCCGACGTGAAAGGCGCTCTATAAATGGAATCTTGTTGTTGTTGTGTTGTAGACATAAGGTGAATGACTGATTTATCGGTGGGGGGGGAGCAGTGTTTGCAGGACAAGTCTCCCAATGTAAATACCAAGTTAAAACAATACAATACAAAACAGCTCAACGCAGAGGGTATAACATGGGGTGGTGTAACATCCTGTAATTGAACGGGAAATGGTTTTAATTTCAAATACTTTATTTCTGTCACGTCTCAAGCTCCGAGGCATCTATGTACTGCATCCTTCCTCTCTGTAATGACACAGCTGATCTCAGCATCTGCCCGACAGCTGTACTGAGGCCTTTGTAATGAGATAAGAAAAGGAATAGCGTGCTCAGGACTGCTCTGAGGCACATCAAGTATAAGCCAATCGCTTTACAACTTGCTTGGCTCTGTCGCATACCGCGACCCCACCCCCCCTCCACACACACACACACTACCCAACAAGAAATTACATTTATACAGCGCCTTTCATGTCAGGCGGATGTCCCAAGGCGCTGGACAGTCAGGGATCTGCTCCCGAACTGGTGGTTGGGATCAGGAGGGGTGGGAAGGAGGGCTAAGAGAGTGACTGAAAGCACGGTCGAAGAGGAGGATCTTGAGAAGGAGGAGCCGAGGTAGAGGACATACACACACACATACATTGCAGAGTCAAACTGGAAATAAGGCAGCAACAGAATAATAATTAGCTGGACGGCGGAGAAATAGGAATGTCATAAAGGGCCCAGCAGAGGGCGCTCCTGTGAGCTCTGGATTGAGTTAAGCGCAATTGTTAGGAGGAAGGAGTTTTATAATAATAATAATAATAATAATCCTTGCATTTGATATAGCGCTTTTCACGTCAGGAGGACGTCCCAAAGCGCTTCACAGAACACACTGTAAAGTGAATTGACTGTATATTTGTGGGCGAACGCGGCAGCCAATTGCGCACAGCAATGTCCCACAAACAGTCGTAGATTGAAAATGACCAATTTAATTATTGTTTTTTTTAGTTTTGGAGGGATTATTATTAGGCTCTGTGTGGAGTAAGGAAACTTGCCCAAGGTTTCGCCCTCTGCCTGGAATTGAACTCAGGTCTCTCACTTGCAAAGCGAGTGCTCTAACCACTGAGCTACAGGACTCCAGTTTTGCTGTATATCTACGGTCCTCGCTGGACAAGCAGAGGGAAAACTTGCCGGGCAGCAATATCAATGGCAAGCTATGCGGTTTTAGCTGGTTAGACTCCAGCAGTTACCCCCAACGCACACTCTGGGGTCCCCAAGCCTTGGAGCTTGCCAACCTGCGCCTAATACTTTCCGGAATTAGATAAGCAGGGAGAGAGAACGCATTCCATTCCAACAATTATCTCTAGGATTTCCATGTGTAGATGAGATGCATGGAATTCTCAGCTTGGTGTGGATACTCTTAAGCACTGTGATGGGTTTCCGCTTGTGTCACACACCCGGCTCCCGGCCAGAAAAGTATAAGAATATTTGATGCGAATACTGAGTATCCAAAATGAAAAGGCATTTGTTCCATTTACCCCAAACTATAATAATAATTCTTGCATTTGATATAGCACCTTATCACATCGTTGAGAGGACTCAAAGTGCTTCACAGAATTTACCATAAAGTGAATTGACTGTGTATTTTGTTGGCAAAACGTGGCAGCCAATTGTGCACAGCAGTGTCTCACAAACAGTCATGGATTGAATGAGCAAATTCTTATTATTTTTTATTTATTTATGTCCTTGTCTGACTAAGCAGAGGATTTCAAAAGCTTAAAATAAAACAAATAATTTTGAAGCCGCACTTTTCAAGGTGGCATCTTTAAAGCCCGTTCTAAAAACAATGGAGCTTTAATAAGGCTGCTGTCAACCACGTGACCCAGCCTTCCCTCCCTCCTGGTGTAACATTACAATTCATTTCTGCAACAGGGTGAACACATTAATTCCTATCTGCGAGACGCTACAGCGGCTGTCAATATCAATTACACAGTGACACAGGAGCATGGAAACCACATGTGTACAGAGGACATCAGCCCTGCTCTTGCCACCCTACCTCAATCCTCATTCCCCCCACACCAATCCCCGCACTCTTTCCCCCAATAGAAGACTGACCTTTCCTCCCAGTGAGTCAGAGGGAACCAAAGACCGAGAGAACAGTTACAAAGCTGCCAACACTACCTACTTTACACCCCCACAACCATTGTCTGTTAAATGGATCGACCACAACAACTTTTTTGCCTGGCTCAGCAGCTACATAACTTTGGTTAATTCGCAAGTGAGAGGACCCAGATTCAATTCCCCGGCGGGGCGAAACCTTAGGCAAGGTTCCTTATTCCACATGTCTCTGTTTACCGAGCATTAAGTAGGAACCCAGTTGTTAGTCGATTGTCAGATTGCTTTCCAGGGGTAATAATCCCTTCAAAAAAATGTGGTCACTCAATCCACAAATGTTTTTGTGGGACACTGCTGTGCACAATTGGCTGTCACGTCTCACCCACAAACACACAGTCTATTCACTTTACAGTATATTTTGTGAAGCGCTTTGAGACGGCTTGAAGATCTGAAAAGTACTATATCAAATGCAAGTATTATTATTATATAGGTGCCTTTCACACGCAGCAGTGTCTCGGAGTGCTGTATAAATGTAAGCCATCTTGTTGCTGAGCAGTTAGTCAATCCATTAGTGAGTGACAAAAAGCAGAACAAAAGACTAAACAAGGTTTTGTTACATGTGAATAGAGTGGCTAACAGCTCGACAATAAGTTTACATTTGCACAGCGCCTTTCATGTCAGGAGGACATCTGAAAGCGCTTTGGACAGCTGACTGCGAGCCTGGGCTTGGGGGAGAAAGGTAACCGAAAATGCGGTCAACAAGATCGTGGTCTCAGCCCAAACTGTCCCTAAAAGGGGCAAAATCTTCAGGGGGAGGGGGTGACGATGTTGATGTCAGAGGAGAAGGTGGGTGGGGTGGGTGGGAGCGGTGAAGGGGTGTCTCCATTATGGCCTGTCTCTGTCTCAGAGCAACAGGAGCCTTTAACCTTTAGCCTCTTATTAGATTGTTGCAGTGTTTAAGAGTCGCTGTNAAAAATATGCAGAGCACAAGCAGTGTGTTCTCACGCGCACACACATGTGCATGTATTACTGTTTAAAGCTGAACACATTGCAAGTTACTATATGTGTAGTCCTGTAGCTCAGTGGTTAGAGCACTCGCTTTGCAAGTGAGAGACCTGAGTTCAATTCCATGGCAGAGGGTGAAACCTCGGGCAAGTTTCCTTACTCCACACAGAGCCTAATAATAATCCCTCAAAAAAAGCAAAACAATAATAAATTGGTCATTTTCAATCCATGACTGTTTGTGGGACATTGCTGTGCGCAATTGGCTGCCACGTTTGCCCACAAATATACAGTCAATTCACTTTACAGTATATTCTGTGAAGCGCTTTGGGACGTCTAGAAGACGTGAAAAGCGCTATATCAAATGCCAGGATTATTATTATTATACAGATGCAGTAATGTACTACCTTAACAACAACAACTTGTACTTCTACAATAAATGTCTCAAAGCGCTGTACAAGTGGAGCAGAAACTGGGGGAGATTGTGTGTGTGTTGAAGGGGCGGGTGGGGAGGATTTTGGAGGAGAGTTTCGGAGGGGGGAGTAAAAGTGGCTGAAACAGTGCACATTGTTAGCGAAGACATCTGGAAAAGTCGGAACGGGAATCCTTTTCGCAGTGCGGGGGAAGGTCACAGAAACTGCGCAACACAGTGAAACTGAGGATCCTCATTGCTAGTCAGTGCACTGGAGAAAAAAAACATGTGGTTAACAGGACTTTGTGAATACCCTGTACATTGCTCAATGCTGCTATTATCTACGTGGACCACAACACAGATAGAGGCCTCACTGTATGCAGAGACCTGTATTTGTGAGCTGCCCACGTGGACAGATAAAGAGGGATTGTAACTTGGGGGAGAAAGATATTAAAACAAAACAGTTACAGCTCGAGCTGTGTAACTATTGCGTCTCCAGCTGTGCAACTATTTGAGATGTTGTGCAGTTGAGGAATTCAGGCTCCGCGCTGAGAAGCTGTTTTTTAGCTTCGCCCCTCACCCCCTCACTAGTTCGTAGATAGACACATAAACACTCATCAGCTGTGGCGTAA